GCAACTTTCGCCGCTAACCTGGGATTTACCCACAGAAAGATCACTCCCTATTGGCCAAGAGCCAACGGCGAAGTAGAGCGGTTCATGAGGACGGTAAAGAAGATCGTGAAGATTGCACTTACACAGCAGAAACCATGGCGAGAAGAACTAACCAACTTCCTTCGGAACTTCAGAGCTACACCACACAGCGCAACTGGAAAGGCCCCAGCAACAGCCTTCTTCAATCGCCAACTCCGAACGAAGCTACCCGATGTACACACCAATGCACGGGACCCAGCCGAGATCCAAGAGACGGACCAGAAAGCCAAAAGAAAGATGAAGAAATATGCTGACTCGAAAGCATATGTCAAGCCATCAAGAGTACGACCTGGCGAGACCGTGGTCCTAAAGCGTGATCCCTCACATCGAAAGTCCGAAACCCCGTATGAACCAAAGCCATACAAAGTAATCAGCTGCAAAGGCTCGATGGTAACCGCCACGCGAGGAGAAAAGACAGTGACCAGAAACTCATCGTTCTTCAAGCTCGTCAGACAACAAGATGAACCAACGGAAGGCGACTCAACCGATGGAGAACATGATAACCTCGAAGACACGGACGGTGAACCAGACAACACTGCACAGGCTGAGGAACAGCAACAAGAACCTCACCGTTATCCTCAACGCGTTCGAGCGCCACCAAGACATCTAGCAGACTATGCATAGCGCTGAATAAGGAACTTATTGTCGGACTAATAAGCTCCCAGTACTTGTCACCGTGTCTGACAGACTGTATTAAGACATGCATGCATGTACTTTACGAATCACATTGAGTGAACCTTATATGGCAAACACTTAGTTGACATTTGACTTTAAATTTGGGTTCTTTTACTAGTTATGTTTAGTGTGACTTTAGCACGTCTCTAAATCCCAGTAAGGGAGGGATGTAATATCCTATGTTATCACGTGGGGGACACGTGACAGGTGGACGGATAGGCGGGAGAACATGGAGACTCGAGAACAAAACTAGCTTGTATATTTGAGGTTCAAAGAGAATATTATAGCCACTACCAGATAAAATCGCTTCTGGCCACTACCAGATAAAATCGCTTTTGGCCACTACCAGATAAAATCGCTTTTGGCCACTACCAGATAAAATCGCTTTTGGCCACTACCAGATAAAATCGCTTCTGGCCACTACCAGATAAAATCGCTTTTGGCCACTACCAGATAAAATCGCTTTTGGCCACTATCAGATAAAATCGCTTCTGCCCACTACCAGATAAAATCGCTTCTGCCCACTACCAGATAAAATCGCTTCTGGCCATTACCAGATAAAATCGCTTCTGGCCACTACCAGATAAAATCGCTTCGCCACTACCAGATAAAATCGCTTTGGCCACTACCAGATAAAATCGCTTTTGGCCACTACCAGATAAAATCGCTTTTGGCCACTACCAGATAAAATCGCTTCTGCCCACTACCAGATAAAATCGCTTCTGGCCACTACCAGATAAAATCGCTTCTGCCCACTACCAGATAAAATCGCGTCTGCCCACTACCAGATAAAATCGCTTCTGGCACTACCAGATAAAATCGCGTCTGGCCACTACCAGATAAAATCGCGTCTGGCCACTACCAGATAAAATCGCTTCTGGCCACTACCAGATAAAATTGCGTCTGGCCACTACCAGATAAAATCGCGTTTGGCCTCTACCAGGTGAAATCACTTCTGGCCACTACCAGATAACATCGGCTTCTGGCACACACCAGATCAAATGCTTTCTGGCCACTACCAGATAAAATCACTTCTGCCCACTACCAGATAACATCGGCTTGTGGCTCATGTCAGATCAAATGCTTTCTGGCCACTACCAGAGATACATCACTTCTGGCCACTACCAGATAAACCAATTATAGGATCGACTAGGCTATACGCAGACGACGGGCGACAAAGGCCAACATATACACGAGCACTATACAGTAGAATTAAGACCACACAAAACCAACGAAGTGTGCCCAATTGTGTAAACCCGAAAGGCGAGCAGAAAAAAAATAATAGACTTGATATAACACTCGACAAGACCATTATTTTCCCTCAACAACTCCCGAATGTTGTGTACTCTCGCCTTGGCTAAACGAGCATAAGTATTGAAAGATAACGGTAAAGCCGAAGCTAACTAAGGGCGCTTTCGACAATGGCTGTCGCTAAATATTTATGCCGTCCAAAGCCCGAACTACTAACCGCAAACGAAGCAACTCTTAACTATAAACCGTACAAAACAACCTGGTACGAATATACCTTAGAAGTGTAAATAACAGTAAATAACAGTAAATACAAAGCCCGAACTGCTAACCGCAAACGAAGCAACTCTTAACTATAAACCTTACAAAACAACCTGGTATGAATATACCGTAGAAGTGTAACTAACAAATAACAGTAAATACATGAACATATAGTTCGGACCTCTTCCTGGTTGCCAGCTTCGGCGGCATTGCCATTGGAATGTGGAAATGTGGAAGGGGGGGGGGCATATTCATATATTTGTGTTCACATACCATAAAAACAATTGATTTCAAAAGAAATTAATTAAGCAGAACACGAATATATGAATATGCTCCCCCCCAATTATCGTTCTGGCTACGCCACTGGTGGAAATGTCTTGTTGCGGCACTTGAGGAGCTGGCTGGGTTGGTTCTTCAAACTGTAGTGGTTTGTTCAGTAGGTAAAACGACCATTTGGCTGGCTGTGGGGTTTCGTTACGTGAAATTGAAGACGTCGTCCATGTGCTACTACGCTTCTCAAACGCCAAACTGTGATAATAGAGACCTTATAAGATTGACGTTTACGGCAAACGTCAAACCGCTAGCGAAGTTTTTGATTTTACAGCTCTATTATTGTAGCTTTTACACCAGTTTTGAAATATGTTAAACTGATTAAACTTCTGCTCTTTAGCAATGATTTAAGAAAGAAAATTAACCACTAGTCATGCCATTCACCAAAGCAGTAAATGAAGATTTGGCGTTTGAAGTTGACGTTTGACGTATAAATTTCATGCTTTAACGACTACAAGCCCTCGTAGCAGTTCAAGCATGAAATCTATACGCCAAACGCCAACTTCAAACGCCAAATCTTAATTTACTGCTTTGGTGAATGGCATGACTAGTGGTTAATTTGCTTTCTTAAATCATTGCTAAAGAGCACAAGTTTAATAAGTTTAACATATTTCAAAACTGGTGTAAAAGCTATTATAATAGAGTTGTAAAATCAAAAACTTCGCTAGCGGTTTGACGTTTGCCGTAAACGTCAATCTTAAGGTCTCTAATATATTCACTCTCCTTACTTTAATACTCTTCGTTACGCATGATTGCACTTAAAATAGTTGAAAAAATCAATTGTGCATAATTCAAGATCTGTGAACTCAATATGTTTTTAACAATAACAATGTTTTAGAATGTTAAAAACATTAAGCTTGCTGATCTTGAATTATGCCTAACTGATTTTTCTAGTTAGTTTTTTCAATTAAAAGGGCTGAAATGCGCCTTAGTAAAAAACATCATCCAAAAGGCTGAACTTTAAGAACTGTACAATTTTCCAAAAACTTTTTATAATGCGTTTTATTACAAATTATTTGCAGGAAGGCTATCTGTAGATAACATTTGAAGCTTACAAAATACTATTGACTTGTTTCATGTACCAATTCTAGTCTTGAAAATTACCAGTTAATTGTATAATACAGTTCACAAAAAGTAGGTGCTGTAGAGAAGAAGGTTCAATTTCGTGTTCGCGTTGATTACAGCTGCGTATAGGCGAAGGCCAAAGTCGCAGCAATGATGAATGATGATTGTCTTAGAGATTCACTAGAACGTCCAGTTTGTTCTTGTTGAGGGACGATTTCAAACACAGGTCCTGGGACGGCCGTTGCACCCGCGGTTGCTTGTTCATTGCCACACGCTTGTATTCTAAATTTGTTTGGAAACTGTCCTTCAGGCAGACATCCAAAGTATCTCATGCAATCCTCTTCAGTGACTTTTGTGACTAGATATCTCTGGTCACTGGAGCACACTTCTGTCACTCTTATGCAGTTCATTCGTATCACTTGCATCAGACACACCGATATTTTCTGTTGGGGAAGAAAATATTGTTAGGTTTAGCTAGAAACGTTTTAAGGTAACATCAACTGGAAGGTTTTAGTTAGCGATATAAAACCCAACTCTCGCTTGCTCAATCCAGCTTGGTCGGCAATAGTTTGCAACCAAGAGTGAGCATGACAATTTTCCTACGAGAACAAGAGTTGCATGAGAGTTTTTGAGGGTTGGAAAACAGTGGCGTAACCAGACCTTTTTTTTTGGGGGGGGGGAAGCGAACGCTGAAGGCGCGAGACCGTCAAGGGGGGTCCGGGGGCACCCCCGGGAAAATTTTGAAATCTAGAGTCCCTGAAATGCGATTTCAAGCATTTTGGGGGTGAAATCTGTCGTGTATTTAGATTATACTTTTAACGAAATATTAATAATACCTAAGCATGGCCGATCTACATATCTAATGCGCATGTCCGTGCGTATGACCACTGTCCGTCTATATCTATATATCTAATACCATCTCTCCTCTTAAGGAAAGCATCATAAAATATTGTTCATGAGTTCACTATCGTGTTCGAACAATTATGCTAACCATAACAGCAAGTAATAAAGCAGTTCTCTATGTAGTTTTCTTAAACAATTAAGACCCCACCTCTCGGGTGGTTGGTGTGATCTAGTTGGGTAACGATGTCCAGATTCTGTTGTAGCCCTACCGGCTTATTCTTGTTGAACTACTGGTGGATTTGTGGCTAGTTCGATATCCGGCTCTGCGACAAATTTCTTCTGCTGGTGCAATATTTTGGTCAGTCTCTCCGAGCTCTGGATGAGGTTCAGCCGTATCATCACTCTGGTCAATTTCTTTCACATTAGAGGCTCGGAGCTGGTCGATGTGACGTCGCCAAATTCGATTTGGACCAACTTTTATCTCGTATGTAAGGGGTCCCGTTTGAGCTCGAACTATGCCTGGTAGCCACTTGTCTTTCCCACTATAGTTACGTGCCATGACAGTCTGACCAATGGATAACTGACCTGTGGGGGAATGTCCTTTCCTCCCTGCTTGATCGATTTGCCTGTTCATCACTTTCATTTGTAAATCAGGTTTTACCAAATCGAGGCGAATCTGTAGCGGTCTGCCCAAAAACAACTTGGACGGTGATTCTCCAGTCGTCGAATGCGGTGTATTCCAGTAAGCCAAAAAGAACTTTGCCATATTGGTTTTCAGCTGGAATGTACCTTGTTTCTCGCATTTCATAGCATGTTTGAAACTCTGAACAAAACGTTCTGCTTGATCGTTCGTTGCAGGGTGGAATGGAGCCGTGGTAATATGTAAATTGTGGCCCATCTGCGTTGATGTGGTGGATGGCATTATTTCCACTTCAGTGGCCTTCGAGTGTGCATCTACAATGATAAGGGAGCATTCATTTTTTAGCTGGGGGGTGGGCCGGAGGAATTTGGGGGTGGGTCAGCCAATTTTGACATGCTTCAAAGGGGTGGGTCTTTTTATAGTTTTGGTATAAATGGAGGGGGGTCATAAAAATAATCAATGAAAAAATCACCAATATGATTTTATTGAATTTGGAAATATTTGGATCAAGAATGGTAAAAAGGTCCAGAATCTATCAACTATCTCGTCATCTATAACAATGAAGCAAAATTCATTTGACGCTCTGTTCACACAGTCCATAGGAAAACATTTCCATGACGTTCATCAATTGACTTCGTTTTTATCCGTTTTTGTGTGAAAACATGAATAAAGAAAACGCAGGACCGTAGCATGATTTCAAAATCATGCATGATTTCAAGGTCTGCATGACTTCAAAATCATGCACACATTGATCAAGTTTAAGCTTTATTAATTTTAAGCGGCTACATTATCCATGACAAACTGCAAAGAATGAAGATAGTACCCACAGTTTCCTGCAACTTATCCTAGTTATCCAATATATGGTAAATTAAATACGCCTTCGCCCATTTAGTACTACCAAATTGTCAATTTCGACATACTAAAACACTGTTTTCTGACCATCAGAATTCTGTCAAATCTTCCCCCAAAGGCCAGAAAATGGCATTTCAGAGACTCTAGATTTGAAAATTTCCTTGGGCCTTCGGCCCTCGCTTTCAGCCCGCCAATCAAAAAGAGCTTCCTACGGCCCTGAAACGCTATGGAAACGACACCGTGTGGATTAATAGTTAGGATGAGGGGTCAAAAAATTTTCAGTAAAAAAAATAGTGGGTCATAATTTTTTATCAACTTTTGTCTTGGGGGTTCCGAGTTTTCGCATGGAATTAGACATCAGTTCCTCCGGCCCACCCCCCCAGCTAAAAAATGAATGCTCCCTAAGGAACATTCGTCCAAGGAATGGCCCAGCAAAGTCTAAATGGATTCTCTGCCAAGGTGTGGTTGGCCATTCTCAGGGGTGTAGTGGTACTTTGCCAGCTTCATTCTGTTGAAGTTGACAACCAGGCAGCTCTTGGCTAAGTGCTCAATGTCCTTATCAATTTTGGGCCACCAGATGTAACTTCGCGCCAGAGATTTCATTTTAACAATACCGAGATGACCTTCGTGGAGCTCGGTTAACACGTGATTACGCAACTTTGCAGGAATTACTGCTCTGTGTCCAAGCATTAGGACACCACAGTGAACTGTCAGTTAGTCTTTCCGCTGGTAAAACGGTTTAATCGCTTCATCTTGTGGAGTGGACCATCCTTTCATAACCAACTCATGGACCTTCACCAATAGAGGATCTCTCTGTGTTTCTCGCTTGACCTGTTCTGCTGTGACTGGCAAGGGCTCAAACTGCGTGGCATAGAAGTGGCCCACTGGATCTGGCTCTTCTTCTGTTGTCTCACTATGCAATGGTAATCGAGGCAAACCATCCGAATTTCCGTGTAACTTAGTGTTCTTGTATCTGATTGTATAGTCAAAACCCGCCAAGAACAAAGCGTAGCGTTGTAATCTAGCAGCAGTGACAGCAGGAAGGCTTAATTTTGCTGGGATGAAAGATTGAAGTGAGAGGCTCATGATCAGTCAGTAAGGTAAAGTTCCTACCGAAAAGGTAATTGTGGAATTTCTTGACTCCCCACACTGCATCCAGCGCTTCTTTATCTATCTGTGCGTAGTTGCGCTCCGCCTTCGACAGGGATCTCGATGCAAACGCTATCGGTCGCTCTGTGCCGTCTGCCATGACATGAGACAGTACCGCTCCAATTCCTACAGGCGAAGCATCACAAGCCAGTTGTAAGGGAAGGTTAGGATCATAATGTGTAAGCACCAGATCTGAAACAATCATTGCTTTCACTTTGCAAAAAGCTTCTTC